GTCTCGAACCCGTGGGCTCAGGCAGTCCACTCACCTCAGCCTCCCAAAGTGCGGGATTACAGGCTGAGCCACCAAGCCCGGCTTGGGTGTGCTTCTTGTTCCACCCACTCTGTGAACTCTCAGGAGCCAGAGCTTTAGATTAATCTCTACCCCCAATATCTGGCATGGTGTCGATACCACATAAATATATACATGAGCAAATGAATGAATTAATGCATACATAAGTTTGTGAGTGACTAACAAATGATTGGTAAGAGTTGGGGCCCTAGGCTGGGTGCAGTGTCTCAAACCTATAATCTCAGCACTTTGGGAGGCCGAGGCGAGAGGATTGCCTGAGCCAGCGGGTTTGAGACCAGCCTGGGCAACAATGGTGAGACCTCATCTCTACAATAAATCAAAAAATTAGCTGGGCATGGTAGCGCACGCCTGTAGTTTCAGCTACTCGGAAGGTTGAGGTGGAAGGATTGCCCGAGCCCAGCAGGTCGAGACTGCAGTGGCCGGGAGCATGCCACTGCACTCCAGTCTGGGTGACAGAGTGAGACTCCAACTCAAAAAAAGAAAAAAATTAACCGGGTATGCTGGCGTACTCCTGTGGTTCCAGCTACTTGGAAGACTGAGACCGAAGGATTGCCTGAGCCCAACACATAGAGGCTGTGGTGGTCATGAGCATGCCACTGCCCTCCAGCCTGCGTGACAGAGTGAAACTCCGACTAAAAAAAAAAAAAATGTCAGGCTTGGTGGCTCAGCCTGTAATCCTGCACTTTGGGAGGCTGAGGTGAGTGGATTGCCTGGGCCTGTGGGTTCGAGACCCGCCTGGGCAACTTGGTGAGACCTCATCTCCACAATAAATCAAAAATTAGCCGGGCGTGGTAGCGCACGCCTGTAGTTCCAGCTACTTGGAAGGCTGAGGTGGAAGGATCGCCAGAGCCCAGCAGGTCGAGGCCGTGGTGGCCGGGAGCGGCCACTGCACTCCAGTCTGGGCGACAGAGTGAGACTCCAACTCAAAAAAAAAAAGAGTTGGGGCACAGGTTGCTGGGCAGGGGCTCTCGGAGCCCAGGTCAGGGCTGCCTGGGGGTCCACACCGGCCAGTCTGACCTGCAGCCCCTTGTCCCCACCCACCAGGCATCTTCATGCTGCTCCTCATCTTCTTTGCCTTCCTCCATTGCTGGCTCAACGCCTTCGCGGAGATGCTACGGTTCGGAGACAGGATGTTCTACCGGGTGGGGCCTGGGCCTGGGCCTGTCGAGAGCTGGAGGCAGGGAGGGCAAGGGAAGGATTTGGGAAGACAGTGGCCGGGTTGAGAGTCACCTCACCTGTGCTGCTAACCTCCCATAATGAGAAACGCGGTCCCCTAGGTGTGCTTATCACACCATGCCTCCGCCTTCTGACCACCAGGGCTAACTGTCCTGTGGGAATCTTCTCCCGAGAAGGGAGCCGGAGCGAGGACAAGGACCCCAGGTCCTGAAGAGGGAGCAGGGAGAGTGCCTGCCATCTGTATTCAGGAACACCGGGACAGGGTGCGGGCAGAGGGGACGATGGGGAGAAGCTGGAGCCTGGGGTGCCCACCTCCTCTCCCCCACCCTGACCCCGTTCCTTCCGCAGGACTGGTGGAACTCAACGTCCTTCTCCAATTACTACCGCACCTGGAATGTGGTGGTGCATGACTGGCTGTACAACTATGTGTACCAGGATGGACTGTGGGTATGGATTCTGCGGACCCCTCAGCATCCTCAGTTAGTAGAGGCCCTCTGAGACAGCCTCTCCTTCCCTCCCTCTGCACTATCTACCTTTTTCAGATCTAAGGGCCCTTTTGATTTCATCTGTCCTCCTCCTCCCCAACCCAAGGATGGAAAGTCCCTCTGATGATCTAACTTTCTTCCTTCTTTATCTTTAATTCCACCTGCTCCACAGGGCATTTCTCCCCACTTTAGCCTTCTAAGGAACATGCAGGCTGGGCTTAGTGGCTCACACCTGTAATCCCAGCACTTTGGGAGGCCGAGGAGAGAGGATTGTCTGAGCCCATGGGTTCGAGACCAGTCTGGGCAACTTGGCAAAACCTCATCGCTACAATAAATAAAAAAAAATTAGCCAGGCATGGTGGCATGTGCCTATAGTTCCAGCTACTTGGAAGATTGAGGAGGAAGGATCGCCTGAGCCCAGCAGGTTGTGGCTGTGGTGGCCAAGAGTGGGCCACTGCCCTTCAGCCTGGGTGACAGAGTGAGATTCCAACTCAAAAAAAAAGGAACATGCAGATAGCAATTTTCAGTTACCAAGGGTTTTTGCATACATTTAATCAGCACAGTAATCCTGAGAAGTAAGTATAATTATATCTCCATTTTAAAATCTTAGAGCTGGGTGCAGTGGCTCATGCCTGTAACCCCCAGCACTTGGGAGGCCATGGTGGGAGGATCACTTGGGCCCAAGTGTTCAAAACCAGCTTGGGTAATATAGCAAGATCTCATCTCTACAAAAAAAAAAAAAAAAAAAAAAAAAAAGCTGAGTGTGGTGGTGCATACCTGTAGTCCCAGCTACTCAGGTGAATCACTTGAACCCAGGAGTTGGAGGCTGTGGTGAGCAGTGATTGTATCATTGTGCTCCAACCTGGGCCACAGAGCGAGATCCTGACTCAAAAATTAAAATAATAAAAATTTCAACTAAAGCCTAACAGGTTAATGAAATGCTCTTAAATAAGACCAATATCGGGCCAGGCACAGTGGCTCAAGCGTGTAATTCCAGCACTTTGGGAGATCGAGGTGAGAGGATTGCCTGAGTCCAGGGGTTCAAGATCAGCCTGGGCAACTTGGTGAGACCTTGTCTCTACTACAAATGAAAAAATTAGCTAAGCCGAGCTCAGTGGCTCCGCCTGTAATCCCGCGCCTTTGGGAGGCTGAGGTGAGTGGATTGTCTGAGCCCGCGGGTTCGAGACCCGCCTGGGCAACTTGGCAAGACCTCATCTCTACAATAAATCAAAATGAGCTGGGCGTGGTAGCGCGCGCCTGTAGTTCCAGCTACTTGAAAAGGCTGAGGCGGAAGGATCTCCGGAGCCCAGCAGGTCAACTGCAGTGACTGGGAGCAGCCACTGCACTCCAGTCTGGGTGACAGAGTGAGACTCCAACTCAA